TTTGCATTTTTATGGACCGAGACGAAGTCTGCGAAAAAAGAACGAGACTATTATCCAGCCATCTTGACCGAACAAACTTGGTTAATAAAGGATTTAGTATATCGCAAAAAGATTTCGGTTTATCAAGAATTAAGGAATGACTTGTTTACTTCCAGAGCCTGGAAAGAAAGCCAACTGTGTTTGTAGCACAACAAACTCACGAGAATCGTTTCTCTTTTCTTTGTTTTGACTATCTTCTGCCGCTTTTTGCGTTTCCATCGCCGAAATTATCGAAGAATAAAGCCGCCCGCTCGGGTAGCCAACCAGAACACAGAACTCGCCTTATCTTGCTTAGGGACGCTGCAAGCGATGTAATAATAGGGAGTAAAGGGTTCAACTTTTTCATCATGATGCACATTTCAAAATTTTCTTTTCTGTGACACTACATAAACCTCCGTTGTATGATTTGAATGGACAAGGCGGGAAACTTCAAAATTCTTCGCATTTTTCTCACAAAAGTTTGTAACGTGCCTTGGCCCTAAGGTTCCTCTCGGCACTTAACGAAACCACACGGTTATAAACTACACTTCACGGTACTACACAGTTGTACACTACATGACTGGTGAGGACTCTACATGGCTATGTGCAGCACTTCAGGACACTATACGGCTCTCCACCGAACTTCACGATAATTGACGACACTTGTCGACCCTACACGACCCCTAACCGCACAAAACTCCGCTCCACAAGACTTTTCATAGCGTTTTATAACGTTTTCAAGGCTCTTCAGCGAATTTTCCGACATGATTTAAAAGAGACAAGTCCATTTACGATGTTGTACGATACTTCACTGCACTCTACAACACGAAATCTCGGTATGTATTACGCGGCTTTTTACCTGACCGAACTTCACGGCACAACGCAGTAATTTTTTTTATTTATTGGACCGGGCACTGTCTTGAATGGTCCCGAATGGTCCTGAATGATACCGCACTTGTGTCCCTTTGAACTTCAGTCGTGTAATAAATCTCTTATTAACCAAGCTTGCTCGGGACCGTACTGGAAGAATATCGGCCTTCTGTCTTTTTTGTACGGACCTCGCTGCGCTCGGTCCGTATTGTGAAGACCTCGGGCCGATATTCTCCTAGTACGGCCCTCGCGCTTGGTTAATAATAGATATATATATATATTATTTTAAAGTAATGGTTAGACAATTCACAGAACATTTAACCAGACTAGACTTTTGTGGCATTTATCAACACAGGCCTACAAAGAATAAGACTATCATGGTGTCTACAGTCGCCCTTTCTACCCAGCTGTTGATATGAGCGAGTGATATCTCTTTATTGAAGAAACAGTAATCAAAAATAAAGCGACTCGCAGACGATGCCAACACCTCAAGGCCAGAGATATCGGATATTTCAAAGGGAAAAGTGGTGAATCAAGCCAACTTTAAGCATGGATAACGATCATTAAGAAATGCTGTCATTCGCTGCGCGTCGTACGTTCTTGCAAACTTGTTTCAATTCATCCGGAGACGAAGTCAAATTGAAACGTGATGGTAAGCGTGTAAGCTAATCACGCTACCTCCTCACATTTTATATCCGCTAAAGGATATTTTCTTTTTCGCCATTTCAGAACAATTAACAAACCAGCCTGTTTGTGATTCATTATTTATGTGTTGCTAAAGATCCGATTGTCTATTCAGTTAAAGGCGAAAGTATTTTCTATCTTAAAAGACTTAATGGAGCTACGAGAAATGAGACTCTGAAAGTAGCAGTTCTTTACTGATATTTTATCGAATTTGAGATTAAAGAATTTTTTTCATTATAATGAATCTTGCGTTCATTGTTTTTGGTCTCGAGTTTGCGCTCTGCTAGTTATTTTTTGAGAAAAAGTTGTTTTCTGCATAATAGTTTACTTTCTGCATAACAGCCTGTGTCCTTGGACGCGGTAAACCATGCATATTTATCTACTTATTACTGAGTCTAAAATAATTTTTTAACCGACCGAGAATTAAAAGTTTTACCTTTAACGGACGTTGTCCACTGCATTGTCTGTGAAAAAAAGCAAATAAAATGAAATGAAGATCGAATAAGGAAAGTAGAAATAACTATCCCATCAGGATATGATGGAGATGGAATATTTTACATTAGTTTGTAACCACAAATAGGCGATCGAAAGTGCATTTTGTGTCATCAGAAAATAACTTGGCCACTGCAATTCTGTTACGTAAGAACGTTTAAAGCAAATCGTTCAGATACATGAACAATAAGAGCATTTTTATTCCCTGGACTTTTTTAATTAAAGTAAAACATTTAGCTTGAAATTGTAGCAATTTGCAAAACAAGCTTTTAGATTCCCATCACAAAACTCATGCTTCTTCAATTTGCTAAGATGATCCGTCATCGTCTATAGAATTTAATTATCCTGCCGCTTTGATATTCAATGTTTTTCAAAAGAAAATWAAAAAAAAAAAAAAAAAAATTTTTTTCTAGACTTTGCGACAATTGCGAAAGGAACTGTTTTGTAATATATTTTTTAAAATCGCTTTCCCGAATTAAAGTTTCGGAAAAACTGTACATAATAAACAAGACAAGCAAATGACAAGGTTCTGTCCCAATAGTATCATTTTGTAGCTGGATAGTTGAGCCTTAGCGACCACGAGATTTAGTAAACTTTTCAGTTAAAACTGGATGTATTTAATGATGCATAAAGCTTTCAAAGACTGATTAAGGTAAGGGGCCGGAACACGTGCACTTGAAATTGTTTTGAAAAACGTCAGTAAAGTGCTCAGCTCACCAGATAAAAACACTTAACCTCGATCTTGGATGATTTTTCAAAACATTTTGCGCGACAGATTCATTTCTTCCATATGCACGCAGTCAAACGATTTCAGTGATGATATGGCAAACGTTATTTGAACGGTCTGTTAAACTGATATTTCCCGGCTGTTGGTTCATCAAATAAGCTATAGGTAAATTACGAATGAAAGCATTTTGTAGATAGTCTAGGAATTTGCAGGAGAAACGACAAACAAACTCAAAAGCTACGATTCAAACGTTCGACATAAATTTTTAATACATTTTGTACGCAGAAAGACAAGAAATGTTATTTGCAGGGGCCAAGAGTAATGTTTCATTTTGAAAACTGCCATGCCATAAATACATTTTGAATTGAAGGCTGTCAAATGACAGCTATATCTTCGTTGACGTTACCTAACATTCCCAAAAACTTAACCTCAGTGAAAAGAAAAAACTTACTAACTTACCAATAAGCCAACGCATACTCCTATAAGCAAGCTCAATGTGATCCTCATTTTGCAGCGAAGACTTTAAAATTCACACTTTTTTCATTTGTTCCAGCATAACCTGAGGCAAAAAATAAAAAGAGGTCTGGAATATTCGCAATTGACAGACAGTTATCTGACAACCCCCAACCGTCGCCAAAATATCTTGTGTTGTTTAGTGCTGGCACCAAATTCGATTCATCGTGGAGGTGAGCAAACAATTTGTATTTTTATGGCCCGACAACTAAACTGTATTCTGTAATCATTCTCTTTTGTAATTTTAATACCTTCATGCAGGTGGCTGCAAAAAGCGGAATTTTAATGGACAGGATGAATAAACGAAGAAACTTGATCTAGATAGTTGGTATAGAAAGTTTCTTTTTGTCCAAAGTTTTATTTTTATGTAACCGAACAAAAAACACAACTCATCACAATTTTAGTAGAGAAATAAAAAATACTGAAATCACTTTTTTTTTTTGCCAGTCAAAGCAGAAGTTAAAACATATTTTACCAATTTAAAAAATGTTTTTAAACATTTTTATGTTCACTTAAGTTTAAATGCATTGAATATTCTAAATAGTGAATTATTAATAAAGTTGAGACCAGAGACGAAAATCTTTCACTTATAGTTGATATTATTGCGTCAGGTCTCTGTTAGTCAGTTCTTAGTCAATCCTTTTATTAGGTTGTACCCTTCGGCGCCGGTTAAATCAAAAAGTATATTCTTAGGCCTCCATTTTAAACAGCCTTAGCTAATTGCACCTGTCATAACGGAAAAAATGTAATATTAAATCATACATTACAATTTCGGCTGATTTCGAAAGGTTCGTTAATATCAGGGAAACCTGTTTAAAACTGTTCACGAAATAATAATGGCAATCATCAGTGAGGTGACGAAATTCATCAAAGTTAAAATGAATTTACGAGCCTTGTCTTCGTCGTCGTCATTAATGGCTCCCTTTGTTCAGTTTGAAATGATCCAAGCATTGCTATAAATGAAGTAAGTGTGCTTTAAGTTACCTAAATGGATTTGGCCGACCGCTATATAACTTACAGAATTCGGTTGCTCTTGATTACATCTTTCACGGGCAAAATCCTGTTTAAAAGTCACTTTTGTTAGGAATCTGTGGTTAATTCTTATGCGTCAGAATCGAAGTTTTTTTAATCAACGAGAGAGCGCAATGTCCGACTAAAATCATTTGCGTTTCATTCTAACTTCAAGTCCAACAGTGTCTCCTTTATCTTCTAGAAGATATGCTTAACCAGCCAAGGAGGAATCAATTAGAGAAGGGCAAGTCACAAAAATTGCTGCGCAAAACATTGATCAAAGAGTGAAAGTTTTCTCAAAGTTATTTAACAAAGATAATGAAAGCCCGTCATTTCCAAGTTCCGCATACCACATACTAACTACTTGAAAAGAAACAAAAAGAGAGAATATTGTTATTATACACAACAGGTGCGCTAGATCGCCCTAACTCAACGAAATCACTAATAGTCATCACAATAAGCATTATGATATGTTCCAGTTGATCGCCTGAAAACTTCCATGCCTAGTTTCGCTGTTACGTTGTTCAGAGCGGAATGCGTGCAGAATTTTTGCTTCACAAGCAGTACAATTGTTTTGACGAGCATTTAGTCAGTCAGAATACACCATATATACGTAATTCTCATTTCACTAAAAGTTATAGAAGGCGCAGAACAGCGTCATGCATCAGTAAAGAAACACAGTGCAAACGTAAGTCTATTCATTGTGACCGAGACTTACATTCAAGACTTTTGTGATTTTAAACTTTTTAAGAATACATTTTAAAAAACCTATATATTACTATGAGGAGCGTAAACTTGTTGCAATAGCATAAAAAGTTTTATTTGATGATGCATGTCTTTCAAATTATCTTTTCATATGAGTGAGTCATTTATCATCGTTGGACGTCATGTATTCCGCGAAGGTTAAAACTGCGCGCATGCTTAGCATCTTATGTTACATACCATTTAAAATCAAGCTTAGTCCTTTGCATGGTAAAGGTGTATCGCTTACCTCTTACATTCAGGGCGAAAATGTGTACGCAAATAAAACATGTAAGGACATGTCGCAGAATATTGCGTTTTCGTGGATAACGGACGAGAGATTAATTATGCCCCAGAAGGCAGGATAGCTATAGTTGTATAATTGATGATATTATTTTGCTTTCTTTGTAGTTGTCAAGGCAGGAACTTCTATACCATGCAGTTAGCGCGCTCTTACGTGCATGACGTGGAATTGCGCAAATGGTTGTAACGGAAGATCTTCTGTTTCATACATAATTCACTTGAATGTAAACAGTGCAGATTCTTTATTTTCTACTGCTGAATAGATGTAAAATTATCTCACTAATTTTTTTCTTATTTCTATGTCCTTCGATGAAATGAAGCTCGTAAGAAAAACAAAAAAAGAATTGAAGAGTCGTGATTTTTTTAAAGTCATTTGCTTGCCTTCAATTTACATGTATCGACATAAAATAATTTTGAGTTAAAACCGGAATAACTAGAGCGATTACAAATTACGACGTTTGGCAAACTAACGTTGCTGAATCCTTGCGTGCGCAGTTTTAATGTGTAATTTGACCGCCTGGAGAACACCGAGAGAAATTTCCAATTTCGCTGTAGTGTCAACTTCCACGTCCCATCCGCAAATAATAAAATAGGAACACGAAAATCTTCAGCCGATCTCTGTAAATTCATCCTTAACCTACTTTCTACACACGGTATCGTGACGAAATTCAATTTATGAACACATTCACCAGTGATCAGCACTTCAGCATACCACTTAAGTTTCAAGGCATTATCCGTTACCTGTCCTGCTGGCCAATCAGATTTCTCGAGCTTCAAGAAAACGCACTCACCCGAAGTTGTTGTTTTAAACGTCCGTTTCGGCCAAAAAGAACTTTCACCGCTCCGGAAAAGAATTAAATATTTCAGATACTCTGGAATTTAATCGGATGAAACAATTCCTTCCTTAACCACTGAGCGAGGTGGGAAGCGCTTAAAATAGGACAGTTGCTCTTACAAACCAATTGCAATAACCAATGCATAATTGTTTACATAAGAAGGTAGGATATTTGCCTAAAGCCAAAATTACTATGACATAATCAGACATGAGAACTGATGAATTTGATTCTATGAACCGCGAGTCTATAAACAGTTTTACTTTCACTTTTCCATATTCACGGCTTGCTTCACTACAGGAAAGGGAGATAAAACATTCTTTGAAATATGAAGTCGTTAGGTGTCCAGCTTTGAAAAAATTGGGAAACGTATGAAACAATTAAGATGATGTGAAGTGGAGGTATTGTCTCAACGATCGGTATAAACCCCTACCATTTCAGCGTATTTACTCGCCTGATCTTTCAAATTTCGTTGCCCATGCTCAGCACGACCTAGCTGATCTTTGCTTTGAAGTATTCCTTTAGACATCAATTAGTTTTTACCAAAATATTTGAAAACCGAAAAAGTCGCAAATTAATTTTCTTTGAAACATAATTGCCCCATGTTGAACAAATACGACTAGTATTAATTATTTTATGTCACCACGAACAGAGCCTTCCTTTTAACTTCCGGTAATGGAAAGCTTTAAGGATAGATTCCTTTTCATTTAAGTCAGCTCAGTGAGTGAAGATTTTGCAATAAAAATTATCTTAACCGTTTCTTTGTCGAATAATTCTTAGACTTGGTGTCTTTTCAAATTTACCTTCAGGATAGAAGGGATCATGATTTTCTTTTCTATTGCCACAGACTCTTGAAGAGAAATTTTTAGTCCGATGATGTATAAATTATATGATAGTCATTTCCTAAGCTCCTATCGTACAAGCTGATCAGTTCTGCAACAGTAGAGTACAACCGAAAAGCGCCATATCATATGCGGAATTCCCTGTAAGTCTGATTGTGCTTGGGTTTCAAGAAGTTGAAAACAAATTTGTAAAAGATTCATCTTTTCAAGGCACATCAAACAGGATCTGAGAACAATTTCTGCCGTACTTACTTTGGGTACAGTTCGTGCAGTTTCGTGTCTTTGCTTCAGCTCCTTGGTGAGAACAGATGCAGCATATGCCAAGAAATGTGATAAAGGAACACTTAAAAGATATCTTAACACCCTCCCACGTGATCAAAGTATATCGCAAAGTTAATGCTCTGTATCTTCTACCAACCTGATGAATTTCAAGACTGATACGAGAGTAACTTTTTTAGGGTCGTTGCAAATTCGGTAATACGATAACAAAAGTGGTGCCTTCTCTGGGCAGATATCGATTATAACTGGTGGCTTCATACGCACATGACAAGCTAATGTTATTACGGCGCAAATCGATATTTGTGGGGAAAATAAATAAAACCCGAACATCAGACACAAATTTGTCAGGGCTCTTACTTCAAAAACCTTGATTGCGAGTCTTCACTTGTAAAATTTCTGTAAAAGAAAAATTAATAACTCTACCAAACTAAGTGATAAACTATCTCCTGAAAACTGCATAGTAACAATCATTAATATTACGCAAGGACCCGTTTGTTATTGTATTCATTTGGATAGTAGTTTCAAACATTATCATATTGACATAGCTCTGCCATTAGTCAGCACAACTAGTTTTCTTTGAAAAAAAAAAGAAACATTTTGCCTATCTGGAACAGCAAAACTGTTTAGCAGTAGACTACAATAAAATTTAACCCGTGAGTTAGCACACTTCCAATGTAATTAATATTTTACTACAAACCGATTCTCTCTTGTAAAATGTTCTGCCTTTGCAGGGGAAGATAAATAGGTGGTGTATGGCATACTGATTCGTTTGGAAAAAAAATCCTAAAAAATATATATTTTTACCATTTTCAAAGGCAGAATTGAATGTTGTCAAACATATTGACAGGCGGCCACTGGGTGCACGCAGGCCAGCTGCTTCACAAGCCTGTCAAGGTCGGCTTGGGAAAGCTTTCTAAAAGCCGCCATTCAGAGCTCGAGTAACCCATTTTTTTCTTAATTGCACAGATCAGACTGCCTAAACGCTACAGTAACAAGAGCAAAAAGGTGCTTATTCTTTGTGTGAAACTGCCGACTGCTTTACAAGTACAATTTATTTGAACTTAGGGGAGGAGGGAGGGGGGGCTTGGGGGATTTTTGGTTCTGTCATGATAAAGAATTGAACTGATCCGCCCATGAGGCCCTCTAATACTCTTACGATCATTGCTCACTGATAGTTAGTTGGCAGTCATTTTTTTATGGCTCCCCCCCCCTTAATCTTTTGGCGGCGACGACTAATCCCCTTCCGCTCCCCCTGAAAAACATGTGAACCCCCCAAAAATCCTCCAACGGGTGATAATAATAATTATTTCCTTAACAAAGCAAGACGTATTTAAGTCTCTACTTGTAAGCTTTACTTGGTAAAGAAATTTATTCTGATAGTTATAAAGACAAAAATCGTACGTGACGAACGCAGCGTTAATATCTGGTCTTTCGATTTTAATTTCTATCACTGCTTAGAACTCAAACAAACACAGAAGAAACATACTGTTGCCTTTTAACCATTTTTTTTTAGGATTACTGCATGATCTGTTTCTGTGTGGGAACTCAAAACGTGTTTTTCATCAATGAAACAAAGTGTTGTTGACTTTAAAATCTAGATCATTACTTTCTCAGTCGTGGCGAAAGAAGGCGAGGGGAATATTACCGAAACGAACCCACAAGAATGTTGTCAGGTGATACTTAAAACAACTTTACTTTTAAGAAACATGCCGACACTAAATGCTGTAATCAATAAATTCATTAATATATGAAAAAAAAAAATAAAATCCGGGTAAAATTTACTTGTATGTATATATAAAGCAAGAACGGGGATTATCAACCCGTACGACCTACCCTCCTTCCTATTGCCGATGTCGACCCTGTGCATTATCGAAAGTTACGTTTCATCCGATGAGCAGTGAGGGATTCATATTGCGTAGATTTATGTTTTTTTTCCATCCCCTGAATTTTTAAGTTATTAATCACAAAAGAGGTGGGGAGATGGGCTGGACACGGACACCCCAGGATTTCCTCCCAACTATCCCAAGGCTACCCGGCCCCGGTTACCAATTTAACACTGTGCAACCATTCTGGCGCCTGTTATATAAACACTGTAAACAAGAATCAATTCCGCGACTTAAATCAAACCTGGCTTCTATTTCTATCAATGTGACTTCAAATTTAACCAGATGATTTAATGGATGGACGATTTATCTGTAAAATTAACTGTATTTTTTACGTTTAGAACGAGTGCCCGATGCTCTTGTATCATTTTCATGTATGTTATCTTAGTGCCCTGTAACATTTCTTTAATTTCTCGAAACACCTGCATAAAATAATCATATTTTGGCGAAAATCTTTCTTCGCCGAAAATTAGCGCAAATTTGCAGTTTTTTTTTCGAAATGTGTTGAACTTAACGATAAAATTTTAACTCTAAGATGTTGGAAGGCAAAATTTAAAGTTCAAAGATCTTCCATTTATTTTGTTGATGAATGAGCAAACAGAAAAAAAGCTACAAACTTTTGCGCATAACAAAGAATTTCAGATAGAAAAATACTGAAATATTATCTTGGCTATGTATGTAATGAAAATATATAGTTCTCCATTTAAGCGTTAGGCGCGTATTTGAACAGTTTCGTGACTTTAAAGAATAAGAATGTAGTTTTGGTAGCGAATTTTACACTTGTGTTATTATAGACCCCCAGGAGGTTGAAACTGAGTCATTTAACAAGAAGTCTTCAAAGAAATTAAAATTGTTCCACGAAATGACGAAATAAATAAAAGACAAAAACTAGCGAGTCGATGCAGAAAAAAAACTCAACATATTGTTAAGAATTTCTTTTTCCTTTTTTCTACTAGCGAAGGTGAACATAACGACTGTCAAATCTAGGACTTAAAATCGAGAAATATTGTATCCAAAACAAACACTCCACTTGCCTAGAAATTTTCCCCCCGCTTTCAACCTACTTTAGTTTTTGCACACCAGAAGTTAGTGTTACTTGTAAATGTGAGCCGTACCTTTTCTTTTGATATTCTGCTCTCAAGAATTTGATTTTTTGGCTTTTCACCGTATCAAGTTATCACGCTCACAACAATTTTGCATATATCTGTTGAAACATCTAGAACTGCAGTTAACACCTGCGCTTGTTTGACAATTGTGAGTGGTCGAGGAATTCTCTCTAACTAATAACACATCATAAAAAACAAACAAAGGCAGCTAACTTGAGTAGTGTGCGATCAAGAGTGTCATGAAGTAAGGTTTAAACTCTACGAATGGACACCTGAAGAATAGTGTACTTCTGCACAGACTATTCTGCCAACTGAACCAATGTACAAAGATCAACAATCCGACATCTAAAAGAATAACTTAAGTTGATTAGCAACTTTCAAGACTAACAGATGATAACGACACGTGACAGGTTTAAAAAGAAAAAAATTGATAAAACAACGATTAAACCATGTGACAGGAAACAATTGTAATCTTGCGCAAGAAAGAAATTATACAGGTTTATATTATCCCTTGACGTCCAATACTACCAAAAAAGTGAAAAGAAAAACAAACAAATTTATATTTAAGTATAAGGCGCTATAGTATTCCTTGAATTTCACGGCTTTCTCAATAATTGTTTTTGGTAAATTCATTATTACGTAATAACGTTGTTTCTACCTGTTTTGTTTGAAAAAAATTTATGGATCTGTTTCAGTATTTTGATTGTAATCCTACAGTGCTTTGCCGTACTAGCTATATAGGCCGCCGTTACCTCGTCACTCTTTCTCATAGAAGTCTTAATCTCTGTTTACACCTCTGCAATAGGGTTATCAGTTTGGAATAGCATTGCGCTGTAACAAATTACGATCAAGAAGACTCTGTATGCCGAGCCATAATGTGAAAAACTTCAGTTTTGAGCGATGCAAGAGTAAGCCTGACTGCTTCAATGCTCTTGTTTCAGTATAAAGAAAATAGCCAATTTGCGAATTACCCTTGGCTTTATTTTCAAGACGAGTCCTCGAGCTCAACCATTCTTTTGAAAATGAGTTTAATTTGCATGTGAATGGAAACTTATTATCATATGAAAGGATTAGCACGAGGACTCGTTTTGAAAATGAGGCCAAGGGTAATTCGCAAATGGGCTATTGAATTTGTGTCCGGTCCATCACGTACTTGATATTGGACTGGTCACTCGGTCTTCACGGCCAGAGACTCAAGTTAAAACCACTCGACAATATACAATAAACAATAATACCATTTATATAAAAGTCTACATGGATAATTTCAGTAAACAAATAAAGTTCAATTTCTCGTCTTTATTCTGAGACAACACGCAGGTTCCGTGATAAAGTGGTAGGTTCAAAAAGTGGCCGACGGGTCGCAGGCGAGTGAGACAAAAATATCTTTAGAGACCGGTCATTCTTTTATCACCGCAGGGGGCGGGGGTTTGAAGGATTTTGGTTGTGTCACGAAAACATTTTTCTTCCTTCCCACCCCCCTTCCAAGGTTCTGTGATATTCTTATGATTATTATATCATTTAATGGTGTCTTTTGATCGCCCGGGTGAAAGTAGTACCGAAAGGGACTCTTGATCTTAACGGTACAGTAACTGACAATTATTCGCCGAAGGCGAAGTGAATATCGTCGAATAATACCCGAGACGAAGTCGAGGGGATTATTCGACAATATTCACCGAACCTGAGGCGAATAATTGTTTTAGTATAATTTCAGAGCTGAACTACAGAGAAATTTCTAAAAATCATAACATTTTAGTAACATTTATTAACATTTTATTTTAACATTTTATGTAAACCGCGTGGAGCGGTTTATATAGCGTATGTAAGGAACCGCTCGACCAATCAGATTGCTGGAAACTCTTAGCTTAGCTCTGAAATTATACTAATGACTGATATTGCGACGTTATCAAGTACACAACTTTATATGATAGCCTGAATTATACACGCGTTTTGATTGGTACTTAATAATGAATTATACACGCGTTTTGATTGGTTCTTACTAATGAATTATACACGCATTTTGATTGGTTCTTACTAATGAACTACCGTAGGACACAAGCATTCATGACGTTACCATTTACAACATTTTGCTCTTTTTATAAAAAAAATGAAAAACAAATAGATTCCATACGGACCTGACGCACGGCAACATGGTAATTATTTGTTAAATGTAATCTCTTAGCCAAAGAAACTGAAGAATTTCTTCGTCCGTGTGTGTTACCACCATCGATGATATCCGTTTCAATTCCTGATATTGTAACGATGTGATAAGGAGAAGCAATCTTTGAATCTCACTTTGCTTGAATAAAAGAGTGTAAAGTCGGTTTACGAGGTTAGTAGCCTGCCAGTCCTTTACGCTCAAGTCAGCTTTGTAGCGTGATGCGACTACTTTATTATCTTTTTCCACTTTGATAAGATGCTAGCACTAATGCCTGATTTCTGGTTCATAACAGGTTACCCTCATGCATTTCGTGAGATTTGCCTAAACATTCTCCGGTAGCTAAATGTGTCTTGCCCATAAGCACAACGAAATGACTCAGTCAGGGCTCGACTCCTAAATTCTCGACCGAGAGTCCCTGGTGCGAGCTTCTCTCACACAGGCCACGGTTCTAACAAAGCCACGAAGTCGGGAGGCTACTTTTAAACCTCTGCAGATTGTTATTCAAACTTTTGGCTCATCTATAATTAAACAGTTCGCTTCGCCCCGACAGAAGACCTGTCAGTGACAAACAATTTAAGAGCGCATTTCTTATTATTGATCATCGAAATTATGAAAGTTTTATCGAACATCTGATCGAGTCACTGCATCGAATTGCATCAATTTAACGAAATATCAAGGAACGATTGCCACGTTTAAGAATGCGTCTTGCGTTAAGTCAAATTCAATCTCTTAATTCAGTTCGTAACAGCTGGTAAAAGTCTTGCTGTGCAACGCCTTTTAATTTCGAATTACTCAGGAAGAAATGCGCACATGTGATACAATAAATATTACCAAACGTGCTGTACTTAAGAAGTTTGAAACCTGATATTAACGAAGTGAACTATTATCCATCTATCTTCACGCTTCAAATTTCAACTTGCTTAACCTACATGTAAATCAAGGATAATTAAGTTCTTTTATGCTTTGCGAAGCGAACCATTAACACCGACCTGGAAATCGCGAAGCGCAAGCGCAGTAAGGCTTTGAGCGAAAGGTGCCACTGGATAAGAAAATGATTCGGCAGATTTAAAGAAAGAATTTCAGAGATTTTCATGAGTCTGAATCTAAATATCTTGCTGATCGCTAAATGGGAAATTAAAAGGTGAACAAAAGACTCGGTTATCTCGTGTGTTCCTAATTAGATCCATCGAATTCTTTTCAAGAGCTTTGGTGTGTAGCGGCCAATTACAACGTACGATTTACCTCAAAACCAAAAACAAATCCCACTGACAGGTGTTTCGCTAACCAAGGAGGAAAATAGAACGTTTTCGAAATTTAAGACTTCATTTCAGTACAAATAAACCTCAAAGAAACGAGGGCGTTAAAAAATTCTTGTGTTTGTTCAGCAAAATACGGTTTAATTTGGATCGCTTTTTGAGTCAAAATTTCTGGAATGTGCGTTGCAGCGATTGTGAGAGGGAAGACATCTGTGAGACTTTCTATTTGAAAGGGTAAGTAAACTAACTTGAATAAAAAACTGTTGTTATGCGTAGGCGAGCGCCTTCATTCGGCATTAACCTTCGTTATGTTCGGTTTTAAGAATTTAATTCTTTTTATCCGTGGATGCATCGAAGGAAAAAATCTAAGCCTTTACTACGGCAAGCAATGAGTCTTTCGGAAATATAATTCAACAATTAGTATCAATTTAGATTTCTGCGGCGTGGTTTTACAACGAAGGTTTGTACTTAAATTGAAGTAAAAATTACATTTGAAAAATCTCAATCGAGATTTTCTTTTAAAGCTTCTGCTTCACAGCAGTCTCTTCTGCAGTCCGATGCCAAGCTAGTCAATGCTAAGGTTTTTTGACATGTTTTTAAAATGGTGTTAATCGATAGTATTTATTTAACAAATGATAAGAATATGGCAGTACCTCGCTTGTTGTCGACGCCAGACATGTCAAGAAGTACCGACGAATTTAGCTGTCCTTTCGTGTGCAGGGTATTAACTAAACAATCGATCTTAGATCTTCATTGTAAAAACTGTTTATAGAATGTACACAATCTTTCCATATTTGCTCAGAACTCAAATATTTGAAAATCAGAGTAGTCATATAATCTAAAACTTATCCGAAGGCCGGTTCCAACAATTGCACTCATTACAATAATAATTTGTACGAGAATCGTAGTAAGATCTTAAGCTGAACGGATCTCGCCGATAATCAGTAAACCAGGTAGCGAATCGTTCAAAACAGAGACTTTTCTCTTTTGGTTGGAATCGGTTACAGCATGCTTAGTTGATCAGCCTCCGCTGTGTTTTTCTTACCAACTGTAAATAATTCCCAACACATGAAATTCTATGGTGAAGTGTCGCACAAAAATAAACAACATAGCTTGAATAATGTTCGATTATTGAATGGCGTCGTGTTAAAGTTATGAATTTACCTTTACAACGGTTGAACGAGAGTCAAAAATTTCGGTCGTTACAACTTGATAGAACCATTCATCTAAAACTGGTCCACATTTCCGACTCAGTCAACTCGGCAAGTTAGAAGACTGAATTCAAACCTGGGACTGCTTTGCTAAATTTTTCCCCATGAAAATTTTTTGTCACCGAAGTCTTTTTGTATTTAAAAAGATGCAACACACTTTTCGGTTGTGAAATTATTTGCGCGCATTGTCGGATACCGTTGATGAAATCTTTTAGGATGCTGACTAAAATTTACTTTGATAAGTTAACTAAGGAATTGTTCACTTGTGGGAAATGACTGTGAAACTGAATAGAGCACTGAACGGATTTAATTTCAGTTAAAGAATTTTAGTGTCGAGGCGTCAGAGATTTTAACAAAAGGCCTTCACGAGTGATAAAAACAATTTTAAAAGTTATGGAAAAACAGTGAAGTTAATTCAGTTAAATTTTGGCTCACTAAAATTTTGAAACAGCTGATTTTGCTAAACTGCGTGCTGAAGAACCTTTTTTAATATCTGGATTTTTACAGTTTCAGTTAAAAGTAGGTTCATTTGTATGTTGCTTAAGTTTACACTATCTTACAGTTTATTTATTGGAGAAAGTTTTTGTGTACGAGACAGAGACTGCGAGATCTGATAGAAACTTGACAGAGACTCAGTTTTCGCCACAGGCAGTCGCTTCGAACAAGCTGGAAAAATTTAAACTTAAAGACACGTGCCAATTACGTGCAGTTGTGGTTCAAGCGTCATTTTTCATTGGCTAAAGGGAAAATTACTTTGAAGCACTGTTTATGAATGGTGGTGGGTTTTCTGATGCAGAAGCAAACAAAAGATGAAGTTGAGCCATTGCAGTCGAAGTTACTGCAAGTGTCTGTAGCTGAAAAAAAAAAAATTACGGAAAGCAATGACATAAGGACAACGCATTTTTTTGTCCATCCGACCGTCTGTAGATGAAAGCTTAAAAACTTCCAATTGCCGAAGGGAACAAATGTTGAACGAAGTTGAGTAAGTCATAGTTTACTAAGTAAAATGATTATTTCACCATTTACGAGTTTATTTTTCAAGATTACTTTTGGGAAAATGGCCTGTCAAAAGCTGCAGAGAAGTGATCTGTTTCTGAAAGAACGATCAGACAACGACGCCCACTTATGAGGGTAAAATTATTAGCAGCAAAACACAGTTAAATGAAAGGGCTTAAGGCATGGGTAGACCAATGTCTGTTGACATTTATTTGCAGGTCACGTGGTGCTGTCACTACTAATGACTGCAAAATACATCGAGTGATAAACTACGTATGTTTTTTTTTTTTTGTATCTAGTTATATGCTCTGATGACCGATGGTATACCACCGATAATTGACTTTTATAGACCTAACCAGATGTAACCAGAAACCTGAGTGTGGAGCCCTTGTGATGCCATTCATAGCACGGTTAGGAGTGTCATAAACACATAGTATAGTTCTCATTTTATCATTCTGAGGTCCCGAAAGAAGGAGCCGAGAACCACGGGTCACTGTTCCAAGCCAGTGGTGCTATTTGAGCTCCATCCAGTATCCTGTTTGGTATTCTGTTATTCTGGTATTGAGTTCCACATTTAGTATCACATTCAGTAATGATTTCTTCGTTCACTGGAGCAAATTCTCGGCCACTCACAGCGATTTGCAATGGAAAATCTTATTTTCCTTCGGTGAAAATAGACAATTCCTCCACCTAATTACAGTATGTTCTTTTTATTAAAAAATAACAGCAACAGAGGCATAATTTTTTAGGTATGCAAGGTCCTGTCTAGTCATAAAATTTAATGCTCTTATCAAGATTTTCCTTTTACGCGCAGGGTTGTCGCAATTTGGCCACGTCTCAATTCCTTGTCCGTTTATTACAACATGAATAAAAATGTGCCCTAATTTTTTTTTGCCTCATTGCAATACAACGGTCTAACGACATCACCTCCGACCTGGGGCACCCTTTAGTGCTTTTGTAATGAATATTTTCTTGCCAGCCCCTTCTAGAACTGATCAGAATAATTCAGAATTAGAAAGCAGAGAGGTTTTCCCGGAGAATAAACCAGTATTGCCTCAATTGTTCACCAACATATATGATATTAAAACGCATACTGTACCAGTTCATACATTTTTAATACAAAGGATTTTTTAGTATCAACATAGCGCCCCTTATGGTAATCAAAACTTACTCGGCGCTGAAAAAACAACCATATAATTTCATTGCACAGAAATGATTTATAAGGAAAGCAACGAAGCGGCAAAGTGGTATTATATATAGCTGAGAGATTTGTCAGAATTAGCGATTTTAATGAACAGCAAAATGTTTTTTCAACTAGATGGGAAAAGGATTAATTTTTTTTGTTAGAATTTCTCCCCGCAACGTAAGCTCTGATTAATGCACATTTTGTTGCCATCATATTTTAATTTAATTGCGTGTTCAGACGAAATGAAACCGCTCGCGAATCGCTGATAATAAGAAAGTAAAATTAGTAGGCGAACTTAGTTCTGAGCCAAAACTGGTCTAAACAGCACCTGTTATCAGGTAACCGCCAAAGCTAAAAAAGCTACTCGTACGTGATGCACGAAGTTCGATTACAAATTTCCATATAATAAGATTAAGTAATACATCAGAAATTATTGTCCATTAAGCAAAAGGGCGCCTGCCGATTAATCATTGCACCTGACAGAAGACTACTGACTGTGTGAGTTTTCAGTCGAGGCCATTTTGTACTTTCATGGCTGTGTTCGACGTTATGAGTTGTATTTTAAAGATTTTCGCTCGTTCACAGGTCCCCGACAACACCTGAAAGATGCCGAGCGCTTTGGGCAGTGGTCGAAAAACGCAGTAAGTACTTTCCTGATTACAAACGATATTGGTTACGTGTTAAATAAGTGGGTGTGAAATTTCGCCTTGTTTATATGCACGCCGCTATTCATGATCTAAAATTTTGAATAATAGTGATGTGTTAAATTTAAACTATCTCGCTTGTAATTGGTATTTAACGCTTGAACTAGCGCATTAGCCCTGTCTAAAATATCATTTAACTTCTAGTACACGTACCGCATCTACTCGCAAGTTTATTTTATTCGTAGAGTATGTTGGAGAGAAGAAACAGCCGATGATTTCTCACGCATAAGCCAGATTATAAGAGGATAAGATATGCTTTATCAATGGGTCTTTTAAAAGAGAATTTTTAGATTTCGTTGGTGTTGAACTGTCGATTAAGGACAAAAGCATGCTTCGTTTAAAAACAATAATGTATTTGCTCTGCTCTTCAAAACGTCCTTAACATTCAACGGATAGAACAAAGTTATCAAATGATTTCAATCAAATCATACTCGTAACATACGTTTCTAGACACAATACGGTACATAGAAACCAGGTTGTGGTGTAGATATGTACCATAAAAATACCAAATACAACATGTTTCAATCAGTTCAAAACCCAGTACTACAAGTCGAAGCTCTTGAAAATCATAACATTGAAATGATAGGCATACAAATCTGCCACTGACGGAAAAAATTCATTAGTTTTCGCCAAAATCCCCGGGCATTCTGACATTGAGAGGCTTAGTGCGGAAAGAGAACATTGATTGAAACCTGCTTTGTAAGGAATCTTGCTATTTCATTGTTATCAGTTTTCTAGCTGAAAACAAGAGGGGGTGTTTTTTTAAATAAGCGTTTGATTTTAAAGCTTGCGTGTATGTTCTTGAAATTGCATGATGCCTTGTTGAGACATTTTTAATTTGATATATCAAGTTTGATAAATCATGTTTTCAGTAAAACATTCGATTGTTTGCGATAATCATGAAGGTGATGCTATTGTAGCTTGGCAACGTAAATATGCAAGGTTATAATCAATAGGTAGACATTTTGTTAAAAAAGATGTCGAAAAATATTAAACAAAGTTTATAGGGGAAAAAACCTGATTTCCTGGAAAAAAGCCACAATTGAAAGAAACCCCATCGGACCCGAGTAAGACAGGTTCAAGGCGGCCTCAAATTTTATTCCAACGCTGAAAAATTAATGTCGGAGAGTTGGGGAATCAACTTTACATAACAATAACGCCGGCGAAATTCCCCACCGTCGACTTTAAGCAGATTTTGAGGTGACAGTTCACGAAGTTCGCATTTATGGCCGTCGGTATACATCTACCTTATATAGAAAGCGTCTTCACTTTACCTGAGACACTTCCGAGGTGATTTTAAAATTTGGATTGTTTGCTTTGAAACCAACCTCCCGTGGAGCGACAAACTTATTAAAACTTATGCTGTACCCATAATTTAAACATTACATTTCATCTTCGCCGCCAGAGAAAATTACCATTCATGTTTTGAAAATTTTGAATTTCACTTCGCTTAGTTTTTTTCAGTTCAAATCTAAGAATAAAACTGATTATGGTTTTGATAATCAAGAAGTTGAGTTGAACGATTTTTATTCAGATTAAAAGCGCGCCCATGTCTAAGTAGTTACCGTATTATTAGTGATTCTTATTGCTATAGATGCTTCCTCGTAAATTATCCTCTGTACATCTTCGTTACCTGTCCAGCGATCAGGATAATCGTAGCGACTCAATTTTATCTCTTTGCGCCGCCCCAATAATTGTGGTACTCAAAATGTATCGACAATTGAACAAAATCTGTCTGTGCGCGTCAAGAAAATAAATGCTTCATTAATATTTAAAGTTTACCACACTCCTAGGCGAATATGAAAAGGTAAAGTTATTAATTTATTTTGGACGGTGCCGAAGGTGTTGCGAAAGTCTCTTAAAAATGAAAGTTGAAGCCCACCCTGGTCCATTTTTATCTGCATAAGAGATAGTGAGATAAATCAATTAATACTGAGATATAACAATTACATGTCCACGTGAAGACTAGGCGCAGATAACAATTGATAGCAGTTTTTTACAAGATTTAGCGGGCTCGATCAATTCATCGCTAAATGAAGGCAGTCGACGAAATGTGCTTTTTTTTTTCGAAAATTCCAGCACATTATATTCTTATTACAGAAGCAGATGCACGTATGTGCTTTCATGGCGAGTAAATTTGATAAGGGTCTTTTGATTGATACACTTATTTTGCGCGCACATTTTCTCTGTTTCCTTCAAGTAATTTTCTTTTCCACATTCCACTGGGAAAGATCTTGCTACTTCTACTACTTCTGCGTGAACCAATTTTCAATTTTTATTTCAAATGTTTGAAAAGCATCTTATCAAAAGCACCTTTCATTTTTGCTGCATATCATTGGTACGGAATTTTTATTATTCCTAACGGAGCACTGAGAATTTTGGATTTCATCATATTTGTCAAGAAAATTAGGTAAAATGTTTGATTGATGAGATTTTATCATAAACAGATGGTTCGAAAGTATATAAAGTGACTTTTACAGTTTTATCAATGCCATTTTTAAACACTTCGTTTATCTTACTTAGGTCAGCAGATGACATACGGCGCGCCTTGGGCGGAAGACTGGGCACTACAACAAACCTTGGGGGTATGACGAATAAGGGTGCATCCCCCGGGATGGAACTACTCCTCCCAAGCTCCACTCTGGAGCGGGCACCGTCTTCAACTGGAGGACTAAGTTCGAAGAGTTCAAGAGAAGTGTTGACCAATTCACTGCGAAGATTGACCAATCAGATAACAGAATTCAAGAGAAGCTTTACTCAGGAGCAACACCATTGCAATCATCGTCAAGGGAGAATGCCGGAAGATAGAGACGGCTGGAAAAATAGGACTGAGTTCATATTGATGTTGATTGGTTATACGGTCGGACTTGGAAATGTTTGGAGGTTCCCTTATTTATGCCAAAAAAATGGTGGAGGTGAGACGTTTTATCTAAAAAAAAAAAAAACATGTTTGGGGGTCTAGGCTTAGAATTTGTCTCTCATATTTGATTCTTTTTCGTAACTTGTGGCCTCTAGGTCTTGAATTGGCTCGAAAACTATCTTTTATTAGTCAAATATGCAACCCAAATGGTAGACCTACGATTAAATACGGACTTGATGCAAACGAATCTTGGGTTAACTAGGTTACGGAAGTTCAAATGTTAAGGAAATAAACTGATCGAAGAAGTATTCATTGAAACTGTTTTATGTACGACTTCTAAAAGAACTCAAAAGGGGCGATTGAAAATCGTGATAATGGTTTTCTAAAGGACCGAGTCGCGTCCACTAGAGACTGATAGGTTTCACGATGAAATCGCCTTCGTGCAGAGAGGAATAAGATACATTTTATCAGTGTTTTGTTTCTTTTATTTGTGATTCACTTTTTTTATACGTGCGCTAGTAATCACGATGGAAATGTTTGGAGGAAATGATGGAAATGTTTGGTCCGTTATAGTGTTATGCTTTTAACCTTCATATATTCATCGTAATTAAAGAAGGTAGTTTTCATGTCCACCAATATTTATACTTTTGTCTTTCTCCCCAGCGTCTTTCCTTATTCCATATGGAATCATGCTTGCCTTAGAGGGCATACCATTGTATTACTTGGAACTCTGCATTGGTCAGCGTATGCGGAAAGGTTCAATAGGAGTATGGAACGAAATCTCGCCCTACCTTGGAGGGCTAGGGCTTGCCTCTATAGTAGTATGTTTTTTAGTATCACTTTATTACAATGTCATCATCGCATGGTGCGTTTTTTACTTCTTCAAGTCATTTCAAAATCCTTTACCTTGGACATCTTGTCCACTCGAACCAGCAACTGTCGGCAACGTCACGACCATGGAGCCTGTGCACGAGTGCAAAATTACGTCACCTACCAAGTATTTTTGGTACAGAACTACACTGGGAATGTCTTCAAGCATTGAGGAAGGAGGTGGTATGAACTGGAAGCTTTGCGCATGTTTAGTTGGAATTTGGTTGCTGATTTGGTTATGTATGATGAAGGGAATCAAAATTACAGGAAAGGTAAAGGGAACCTTAAATAATTTCAGTGTCGAATAGGATTTTGCAATAAAAACCAAGAATTATATCCAATTCAATGCGCTGATACACGCAGCTGGAGGGGACTTCAGAAATCTGACGAGATATCGTACAGGTGCAAAGTGTTAAGGTTAAAATCGCAACTTTAGAACAAGGTATTACACGAAGACTTATTTCAAGGCATCCTTGCGATGCGCGCATTTTCTGATCAAATGAGAAAATAAACCAAAATCAGTTGATTTATTTCTTGATTTAACTCCTAAGGTAAGGAATTCATTTTTCAGTGATATCTTTAGACCCGAGGTCGCACTGATGCCACTTCAGCTTCTCCAAAATCAAGGATTTCTTCAACCTCGTTCCCAGAGTCACATATCTCCCCGCTTTCTGGGGCGAGGGAGGAGAGGAAAGATGAAAGACCCTGGGAACGAGATTGGGATTTCCTACCATTAATTATGTTTCGCTTTTCTCTTTATCACAGATTGTATACATGACTGCCACCTTGCCCCTGATCCTGCTGATCATATTTTTCTTCCGCGGAGTTCATCTCAAGGGATATCAAGAAGGATTGGCCTTACTATTTATTCCAGAGGTTAACAAATTTTATTAAAAACTGGATCATTGGATAATGCAATTCAAGACTTTTTATTGGCTTAGCCATTTGGTATATGATAGATAGTTTAATCAGAAAAGCATTTGCAGCCCGAAGGCTGAATTACACATTTTTATAAGGGCCAATATACCATAATCTACATACAATGAGCCAATATACCATAATCTAATATCTGTACATTGTAACATCCGGTTTCTTCTTACAAAATAAAGCCGAGAAGATTTGTCTAATATCTTAGGGGCGTTTTTTTTTTTTTAATAAAACAATGATTCCACTCGCTCTTGTTGGATAAGAGTGGAACCGACAGAGTTACTCTGTAACGCTCTAAGTAATGGACCGACAGAGAGTTACTCTGTACAGTTCGTCATTCACAAATACAGTCAGTGCGTTGTTATTCAATGGGTCATTCTGGTGGTCAGTCAATCAGAGTCAGCCAGTCAACAGTCTGTCAGAGTCAGCCAGTCGTTCAGTGTGTCAGTCAGTTAGTCTAACAGTCAATCAATCAGTTAGATAGGCAACTAGAAAGTAAACGAGTCAGTCTATCAGTAAAACAATCACTCTTTCAGTAAATCACTTGGCCAATTGACCAATCTGCAAAGGGCTAACGCTCGAAACGCCAGCTTTAGAAATTCTATACAATGGTCAATTTACATCATCAACCCATTTGATAAGACCAAATTATCTTGTAGGAAAATTCATTACTTGACGAGGGAATTCCCCATTAAATTGCACGCGAAAACCGATATCGCACGAGTCGCGAAGCGATGAGTGCGATATCGGTTTTCAAGTGCAATTTAATGCAAAATTCACGAGTCAAATAATGAATTTTCCTTGAATCGCATAATTTTATAAAAATGAGAAAAAAAAAGGGAACAGCATTACTTAAAGTTTTTATGTTTGCGGGGATGCGAAACAATATCACTTAGCCTCGTTTTCAACTCGCAATTCCACGCTCAATACCTCGCTTCGTTAACCAATCAGAATGCGAGATTTTATTCAATGATGCGATTTTATCATTTATAATACCCTCCACGGGTGCAGCACTACCATTTCTTTAAAAAACTTACACCTTTCTTCAGTCAGTAGATTGCTGAAGCAGTAAGTCAATCAGTCAGTAACGTAAATGGCGTATTCCTCAAACACTAGTCTGAGGTTTTTTTCTGCTACTTTTTATTACTAGTTTGACCGGCTAAAGGATCCTCTGGTGTGGTTAGACGCCGCTGTGCAGATCTTTTACTCTCTGGGTGTGGCTTATGGATCCTTGATAGCCTTTTCCAGTTACATGCCGATCAAGAACGATTCAACAAGAGACGCAATCACAGTTTGCCTTATCAACTGTGCAACGTCCATTTATGCGAGTGTTGTTGTCTTTTGCTTTATTGGTTTTCAGGTATTTCTAACGATTTGTAATTTTTTTTTAGTTTCGTGGTATTCTTGCATACAATTTTTTAACCCTTTACACCCTGACATCAGTATGCATATTGTCCATACTGTTCTCTATACCTTACTTAAAGCGCTGAGGAGGACACATATATTTTTTTAATAATCAAGAGCTTCTTTGGTTGGTTATTATTTCCTTTATTATCGTGACCTTAATCAGTGAGTGATCTAGGGGTGATACTATACGAAGAAAGAAGAGGCTCTGAAAAATCCTAAGAAAAGTTTTCTAAGCTACTTGTGCGAGGTACTTACAGTGCGCGCGGTGTTTCCGTCCCGTCATCGTTCACTCGGACAGTTAACTTCCGTTTGCTGCTTTTCAAATTTTTACAAAGCTCACTAACCGAACGCCCGTATCCATTTACGCTCCGCTCCCAGATGGAAAATGAGACACTGTGAGAACAAAATGTCTTACCCACCAACACAACACGATGACTCCTGTGTGAGAAACACAGATCCGCTTTTACCTGGACTACGTATTATAAACCATAAATGAACGACCACGATGTGTGCACCCCATGGTCTTGTCAGTGTTCTTTTACCCTTTAAGTTCTAATATCTAAATTGTGATTCTTCCTTCTATAGCTAACTGCTACCTATTCCTCTGTAAGGGCATTCAACGTCATGCTCTTTTGTTAGATCCCAGTCTCACCCTTTTGGCTGATACAAGTATCTCTGTCCTCATCTTCTGTTTGTCTGTAGATATGATGAAACTGTTAAGAAAAGTTGCATTTTCATCACTTTTGAAGATTGAGGGTTTCGTCTAATCTTTGCTTAATTTTTCAGGCTGAAGACAGAATGGAGGACTGTTTAGATAAACAATCTAAACAGGCTATGCGCCTGTTGAATGGCACTGGTGTGAGTAATGTGGATACACTGGACCAAGCGACATATAACGAGCTTCTTCAAAATGCCTCGATTTTCTTCAATGAAACGCTCGTGACATGCGACAAATCAGAGTTTTTAAAGGTTAGTTGTAAACCAAAGGACATTTTTCACCGTATTTTGCCGTATGGCACATTCCCTGATGATTAGTTGAGGGAGGTGCACCCACTGCATCAGCCTTGAATGAGCCACTCTTGTTTAACGTGTGCATGTAAATGCTTGAAAACGTTCGAAATGTTTTCTTATTTCGAAATTTTGTTTATTTGAATCTCGTTAATGTAACGACAGCCGGATAGACAAACAGTGTCCGCAAAACTGCAATTATTTATTACTCTGATGAACAACAACACTAAAAGATGGCTGGCCGCCCGAAACACCCGTCACGTGACCCGCAAGGCGGGAAACTAGACTACCTCATGTTAGCATACTCGTTACAGTTAATGGCTTTTAGAATTTACTACAAGCCTCGTCGAAGTGCCATTCCTAAAGAAGCAATTTTCTCAAGTCACTGTGGTCTCCACTAGTTTCACTAAACTAGAAGCATTTATAGTCTAATAAGAACCCCGTGCTTGCGCTTCCATTGTTCTGTCAATTTTCTCGATAGTTTTTTCTGGAAGTCCATTCTTCATCTCTTTGGTAGGACCTTGGTAATGACGAAGTTTTTCGATTGCGACGCGCACGTGGACACGCCTTTTGCACTTGCTTCACAGGTCTCCCCCAAGCGTGTATTTAGCCAAGCTCAAAGTGGTAAACATGCCGTTGATTTATGATTCTATTTCATTTTTAAGCTCCCATCTGGTCAGGGATTAGCCTTTATAGTATTCACAGATGCGATCAACAAGATGCCCTTCGCGCAACTCTGGGCGGTCATGTTCTTCCTCATGTTGATTGTGGTGGGCATTGACACGGAGTTTGGAATGTTAGAAGGCGTGGTTACACCTGTCGTTGATATGAAACTCTTTCCAAAATTGAGGAAGGAATATATATCAGGTAAATTATACAACTGAATACGCGTAGCAAATATATTGCGACTGCTCTTTCAATTTCAACTCGCATTTGCATTTGTTCACAGACAAGAGAAGACGAAGTGAGAATATTTGGCGTATGAAAATTTATTTAAAACTATTTTAAAATTTCGCGCCTCGTTGTGAAGATATTTAGTCCAGTTTACTAGATTTTGTCCTGATATTGCTGTTTCCGGCCAGCGGTCACATAATTAGTACCTAGGCCACCACCTATAAAAACATAGGCATTTACTATTCATTGTACGTGATGTGATTTAGTTTCAGTGTTCTTCTTGCTTCCAGCAATTGTGTGTGCATTATTACACCCCCTGTTCTCTATCTAGAACTTCAATATTTCTGACTTTTCTCGCAGTGTTTCCCTGATCCTCTGATAAAGAGTGATAGCATAAAAGCAGGGAATTGCCTTCGGGCGAGTGTATCATTTCTTGAAGGATATGTATCTTTCTCGTCTTTTTTTTCACCCAAAGGAATTCTTTGTCTGGTGTCCTGTCTGATGGGTCTGCCTTTAGTTCAGTATTCAGGGGAGTACTGGGTACAGCTTATCCTCACTTACTGCTCTGGTATTCCATTACTGATTATCGCCCTGGTGGAATGCATCGCTATTTGCTACATCTACGGGGTCGACAGGTAGAGCAGAAGAGTGTTCTTATTTTAGCATATATCAGTCACTTACTATGAGACGTTAACACTTAATGGCTGAATGCTTGTTCGAAATATGAACATGAATCGATAATGAAAATGGAACTGAGTGGAGTCAAACTTGGTCTATAATCATAAAACGAGTGATTAAAAAAAGGACAACGAAGTGGGAGTCCGATCTGTCAATCACGAGATACTGTTGTTTTTTTTCTGAAAACGTCTAACCGATGTCTAGCTTCTTTCTCACATTTTGTAGTAGTTTTTGACTTCGTTTAGTCCATTTATGTCTTTAGTCATACTCGTGATGAACAAATCGGAGTCCGGCCTCGTGGTCATCCGATTTCTCGTCCTGCTTCGCGGTCGTCCGATTTTGTCAATCACTCGTACGAATACAGACCGAGTCAAACTCCACTCATTCCTTTTACCATTATATACACAGCTCAAATCCCTTAGCACCCGTACTTGGGTCGTACTTCCCAGGCATCTAACATTTATGTCGCTTCATTTGCTGCTTTAGAATAGTTTCTTAGGTGATGGTAGAAATTCATACTTATAGATTGGTCGAGAATTTAGTCACATGCCAGAGTAAGGTAGTATGGGACCGCAACGTAGTGTGGAACATACGCCAACCCTCCTCTGGTCACATGCTAAAGTGAGTCTTCCTAATTCATACCTTTTCTTTAGGGTGCTGCTTAACGCCTCCATCCCTGCCACACCGTCACCTCCCACAACGCTTCTGTTGAAGGAGCACTGCCTTACTTCCCAAAAAAGGGGGTGGGAGGTGGGTGGGGAGGCGCTCGTCACTGGACCGTTAATAGTATCAAAACAGCATGGTTGTTACTGTTATATCTTTCAAATGATGTTTCCATTTTGTTAGATTTTGCGATGACATAAAGTACATGACGAATAAACCACCACGTTTTATTTGGAAATGGTGCTGGAAAATCATGTCTCCGATCACCATTTTCCTTGTTCTTTCCATGAGCATAAAAAGCATGTCTGAAAGCATACCGCAGTACCAAGTATGGGACGCCAAACAGGTGATTGTCTTATCTCATAAAAAAAATAAGCATTTCCAACATGACAGGTTCTACTACCAAATGAGTGACACACATCTTGGAGCATCTTTCGATTATGTGCCGTATGACCAAATTAAAACCAGACCCATTAGGGTCATCGATATCGAAGCAAAAGCAAGTACATGGCCTCGAAGGGTACGGGAAAGGCCTGGTTAAAATGATCAGTTTCGGTCTTACATCTGATTGGTTGAGTAAGTGTGTGAGTTTTCTACACCAACCACAACGCACGTCAGAGCAAAAACCAAAGAAAAATCTCAGATTAATTTCGGATTGAATATTGCTCTACTGACGATCATCATTTTAAGTTCAATATCGAAATAGTCAAGACATTACGTTTTGAGTGAGTTCTACAAAGTTTGAAATTTCATTTAACTAAAGGTTTTTTTTTTCCTTAGGGTAAAGTTGTGTCGACCACGTATCCTCCATGGGCCAAATTCCTGGCTATAGTAATCACTCTTGTGTCGATAATATTTATCCCTGGAGTGGCATTATTACGTTACTTCCGAGTTATTGGAATGGGAACGCCTGAGCTTCCTACGGTAATACTAGACGCTGATGTCGACGCTGACCTGAACTCCTCGGAACTTCAACCACTTCACAACGGCAAACCAACGAAGACCAAGAAAAGAAGAAAGCTTAGTCTTGCCAGAAGAAAGTTTAGACTTGAAGAGAGAGAAGTGGAAAGAACAGAAGGGAACAAAAATGGTCCTTTAAACAGAGTTATCACTGCTAACGGGCAGACATATCAACTGGTGAACCAGCACAATGGCGCGGCTATGTTTATCTAGCATTGTGTTCAGAGTAACTATTGCATCATTGCACTTTAACTTGACACCAGAAGACTTTCGGCCTCTGAACAGTTTTATATTCGTCAGTAAACGTATCAAAACTTTGACTTCTACGTAAGAACGTTTCTATTTGCCAATGACAAGCATGAGCCAGTAAATGAATAATCCCGGGGGAGAAGTATTCCTTAAGAAGATGGGAATATCCTTCCGACTTTGCCACGGGACATGGAGGAAATCTAGATAGTCACTCTTCCTGTCTCGTAGTACAATACAGGAACATTATAACATTCGGAATTTTCGAAAAGAAATATAACATAATTTTCGATGAAATAGTTTTTATAGAAATTTGCTGAAATTCATTCAGAATTTTGATAACTTTTGCAGTAGTAACTACGTATAGTAAATCCAGAGACATAATTCGCCTTGAGAAACAATCCAGGGAAATTACTCAAAATAGTGGGTTGGAGCACTAAATATTTTAGTTGTTAATGAAGCATGCATGCAACGCCGTCTTAGGTTGGTTGAGATTTGGTAAAGTCGTTTAGAGATTGTTACTTGAGGATCTATGTGTCGACCAAGCGAAAAAAAAGTTTGTGATAATGATTTCCCATATTTAATCATTTATATTCAGTATGACTCGCTGTACGGGATATTTAGCTTTAACTTTTAAGTTGGTAATCTGCTTTTTTAGATTTATTTGTCACAATCCTTAATTTTCAGTTGATCAAACGCATAGATTTAGGGAAGTGAGGTCTATTGACTTAGCGGCTTCCAGTTGCCCGTCAAGATGCTGGAGTCAAAGCGCTCGTCAGAAACTGGAACTCCAAACACTTATTTATATCATAATTACGATTATTGACAATCGTTGTAGATTTTGCTCGTTGATCAATAAACGCAGGCGTTTTTTTAGCAACGAGTAAATAAACAGTAGCTTTTGAATTTATTAATGACAACTGTTAATCGTTATCAATAGCGTGACAGCAAAGATTTTCTTGTCTTGCAAGGCCAACCCCGCATGTCGTTTCAACGTGCAACCGCTGTACATGGTCGACTCTCTTTTAGATGCACCCAGACATCATGGGAAGAGTCTCTATACGAGGTCTAACTTCGGCTTTACGCAATCAGTGGGCCCCAGGCTTTCTCTGCTTTAATTAAATAAACATCCTACCACTCTTAGCTTTCGGTCCCCTTGACACTGTTCACAAAAATAGATGGTCAGGTAAAAGGTCCAGCTAAGTTGAAGATTGTCTAGGATGCGGTTTTATTAAACAACGGCTAAATGCTGTCTAAATAACCGGCCCTTAAATGTTTACCTCTAGGAGGAATCAGCCTTTTCAGATTCGAGATAATCTGATCGAACTAATCTTAGGATAACAAAACAGAATCTGCTACATATGATGCACGATTTTCATATATTTATTCTATCTCATTTATCACTTTCACGGGTTCATTACGAATCAACTTAACGGCCTGCTCTCAGTTGGCTTGTTAGCTCAATTGGTTAGAGCGCTGCACTAGTATCGCAGAGGTCAGTGGTTCGAGTCCCGTACAGGCCTGATTGTTTTCAGGTCTGAATTTCGCTATTGCTTAAATAGCGCTATCTACTGCGAGGATCGTGCATCATACGTATCAAATACCGCAGTTCAATATATGATTTTCATATATTTATTACAAAACAGAATCTGCTACAGTAAAATAAAATTCAAGCAGTAACGCAGGATCTTCTTGCAGTACTATTATTGAAATTTCCTGTGCAGTTCCAAATGCGCACAAAACTCACCCATCGCTTTAGAGAAAACAAACAACAATTCCAACTTCATTCAATTGTATCTATCAGAGCCGAGGACCAAAGGAAGCAAAGATGAGCAAGAATATGGTTTGAATTCACTGCTCCTTTTCTTGTAAACGAATTGATCAGCAAGCTTAAGTGACCGAGGTAATAAAAGTTCCACGTCAAAATAAATTTGATTGCAAAAAGGCTCCAGCGAGTTCTGCTCCGTTTGTCCTATGGACCAGATGGCATGGTACCGAGGGAAAATCTATATCATTCAAATTCTATGAGGTAACTAGGAAACCCTTCAGAAATAAAACAATTAGGCAATGAACAAACATTCTGACGGGAGCTAGGTGCTGTTTTAAAGTGGAATATTATCCGAAATTATATTATCCCATCTGTATCCCTTTGCACAGACCATCCGTCTAAGCGGAAAAATGACCAAGGCTTCTTATTTTCTTAATGTACTTGAAAATCTATGAGATGGTTTTATTCATGGTAGATCTGTTCCCAGTCCTATATTTGTTTTGACGATTCAATTATGCAAATTCGAGCTCGATAAAATTTTCTTTCTCATTTGTTGTATAATTCAGGTAATCTTTTGTTTCAAATGTTGTTTGTCTGCATGAAGAAATTGACAATATTTGCCAAATCCAGTTATTTTCCATAATCCGCATTCAAAATATCCTCTAAACTTGCTTTGAGCCAAAATTGTTTTGAACGCACCCAAACCTTGAAAACCGCAAATATAACAACGATCATTGATAAGTTATAGACTTTAAAGGTTAAAATCCCAACCTTAAGAACTGAACAATTTATTTACAAAAGGGAAATTTTTTTGGGGACGGTTCATCTCCATAAGCACAAGAAGTTGTATCTAAGGGGCGATTATCAGGAATATGGAACTTTCGCGTTAAGTTTGTGTCATCAATTCCCTTCTTACATCTTTCAGTTTACTTATGGTCAACGCTCAACATTAATTTATTAAACCGAGAAAGTAAACGTTTGCCTCGCTGGCTGAAAGCTCTCAAACAATCAAGGAAAGGCTTCAGACGCACCTTTGAAAACGCGTCAACCTAACGCTGATGGTGGCCTTGGCTAGAATAAAGTAAGGCAACCTTGTTACCTTTTAACTCAAGAGTTATTTGAAATAATCTGAAAAAAAAGTAGATGGAAGAAGCTGACATTTTGTCAATGTTGTGGGTGATATAATGGCTGCACTGTTGATTAGATTATTTGGCAAGTTTTTGATCGCGACTCTAGCATCTGCTAAAAGTAAATTCTTAGTCCAAAACTAGCTGGAACGTTTTGAAAAACTAGTTTTGTTCTGAGATACCACTGAAATGTCAGGAGTATCGTCAAAAATTGAAATTGAAATTGATCAAAATTTGATTGTGTTCCAAAAAGGTTACTTTTTCTCTTATAAGCTCCGACAGGAATATTGTGCTTTCAAGACTTTGGCAGTATGGGTCTAAAATAAAGATTTACATATTTTACAAACCCTTTCAAAACGGTTGAAATATTATCAACGGATTCGCAAGGCGCTAATTTGGTGTACATTTTCGACGACTCCACTATAATTAAGATTCTTTTTGCCTCAGGGTGTATATAAGCATTAATACTGCAAACTGTCACGGTGTTTTTCAAGAAGGTTTTAATTCATCCTCGGGAGCTACCCTCAGCCTTTCGTCTGTTTAATTCCAGATATATTTTGGTGTTGGTGTGCACATATTATAAACGTTTAATAAGAAAAGTACAACGGCAGTAATTTCTCCTTAAATTTTTACCTTCGATAAATGCCCGTGGTTGTGATACATATATCGAACGCGTGGGAACCTCCCGCGATTTCAATCAGTTTCGATATCAACAGTTTAATTTATGCAATGAGAGTTTTTCCTTCAAACCCAGCACGTCACGAATTTGTGTTCTTGAAACCTGTTAATTGAAGTAAAATGAAACGGCCTTTTTTAACTAAAAGCAAAACAAAAGTAATTTAGGAATTAACACGGCCGGGAAATTGTTAATAGATAGGATTTGTTGAAAAAAATTCCTTAATGTCGATTTTCGACAAAACACACAGAGATCAATTTCAACAGCTTGTTAACATTCTATTTTATGTAAACTTGTAAATACGTGATCACTTTGCTAATTCAAATTCGGTTGACAAACTTAGCTTTTAAATAATTAAATCGAGCCCTTATAATCATCTTTCTGTTCTGAATGTCATACTTCCCAGATGCACGGACAGGTTTGACAGGAAAAACAAACTACAATAGTTTGAAATAAGGTAAGCCACTTTTTCATCCGTTAATCTTTTCGTACGTTCATGACACTTGTTTTGTCGATTGATGATGTGTTATTTAGAATAACAGCGATAGATATTGCAGAAAGACAATCTTTTTTTTCCGAAAAAGGACTGTAGCAGCAATATTCTGTTCTTCGCGTTTAAAAATCACCGGTTGTGCTTTTGAGGACGCATTTCTTTTATATACGGCTAAGAGGTCGGTTTTTACAAACAAATACAGAGTGTGCCTGTATTTGCGTGTTAAACACGTGGTATTTATTTTTGCTTCCAATTCTGAAAGTCACGGAGCATCTATCTAATACAATACATACACGCGCATTAGGTTACGGTGAAATATTGCTCTGAAACCTGTTGACAAGTGGCTGTGTAAGAAATGGCATTTTCCTGAGAAGTTTCACAATTTAGAGAGCAGCTATAAAGCATAAATTTTGACAGAAGTTTTGATCAATTTTCCCGTCTTTTTACTGCGACAAACTTGAATGTTTCTTGTTTTCGTGAGAAAAAGCCATTTGGCTAACAAACTGTAACAATCAACGAATTTCTAATGAAAACATGATGATTACTTCACGTTAAATGCGCATATGGTAACTGCTCCAATTTAAAAAAAAACACTTTATTCAACCAGAAAGAACATGCATTTGCTCTGTTAGTTGTAAATTTTGTATGGAGGAAATTACCTTATGTATATCATTGAATTACAGTTAACTTTAGGTTGGAAATGACAATCCATTCTATACATATTTCCATATTTGTTTTTAGACAAATAACAAACGGCCCTATAAAATACATGACTACCACTGATGTGAGATAATCTAACTCGGAACTCACGAAAATTGCCGTGACAAAAAATTTCACTTTGAATCAGTTCATACGTTTTGCACGACATTTGTTCACTAGGCAACCGTCTGTGTCACGTTCATGACAAATGTTTCTCAAACTAAAGCAGCCATCTGAATCAACACCTTTTATAACTTTCTAGCAAACAAGAGAGGAATTCCCCCCCATTGAAAGAGCCCAAGGAGGTTTAAAAAATATCCTCCTAGTGGGATGTCAAGAGGGAAAATGGTTTTTATTGTTATAGATATGTTTAATTTTCAGTTCTGTGTTGAGGCTGGATAACTTCTCTCGATTGCATGCACAGCTTAATGTGTAGCCACTACATAACCATAATGTTAGCTCTTCAGACATAATCATCATTGGAAGAAGCTCAGGTTAAAAGTTGAAAAAAAATAAATGAAAAGAAGCGGTTAATGACAGTTTCCGCAGCAGCATGTCGATATATTGACAATGTCTACTCCATTTTTTGTTTTGTTCTTAATGAGCTGATTTTTCATGTAGATTAAAAAGTACTTTGGGGGAGGGATTTAACAGGTTCCATTCAGTGTCTTATGGATAGTGGGCCTAGATGTTTTTGCAAAGGTGTTGCAACAATCAATTAAAAAAAAAAAAAAAAAACATCGGCTAATGCCCGATTCCAATTAAAAACCTTTAAACAAGAAAAAACAATTGGCCTAAAAGTTTATTTATTTCCTTGACTACTTCAGGGGGTTCTTCACGTGATATCTTTCCCCGAAAAAAGTCGTGGATAATTTCCAGTTGAAGTCGAGCCAATTACAAAAATGCGACGGTCACAAGAACTTTGTGGCTTATTCCCTCCGGGCTTTCGAAGAGTCTGTCCCTGCGTAGGACTGGGCTTGAAAAATTTCTTATAATTTTTGACTAACAAATAACATTGGAAGAACTGCTTTGCGTTTAAAAATGTCTGTATATATTTTCATTGTCAAAATTTGATTATTGAATGGCAGGTTATCTGTCAGTTATGACAGGCGGATTGCACTGTTTTGTAAACGTAATTAGTACGGCATTTGCATTGACATTGATTTATAACAAGCAGGTGTGTTTTTATATTAGAAAGAACACATCTCAACGGATAGACATTTTACATACTCTTTTTTGTAAGACAACTTGACTGTCAGCCGTTGTTTTAAATTGCAAGTGTAAGACCCCCTGCGGGAGTCTCTAGTCATCTCAGCCCCAAACGTGAAATTGTAAATATACTAAAATATATATAAAAAGATATTTTTTTGCCCTTCAGGAAACCCTTTTTGACAAATTCTTATCTTCACAAAGTTTCACTAAGTAACTTTTATTTGGAAAAAGTGACGAGAACTTTAAATATTACGGACTCTTAGATAAACGTTCATTAGAATCCTCTGGCCATAGGCCAAATGTATACCTTAATTGACGGTTAGAAACAATTAAGTTTATCCATTTGTCAGTGGTTAAGATGTGAGTGTTTGGAACCCGGCCCATAAATTACAGTTTATTTTCAAGGCGTACCTCATCCAAGCAGGTACATATAACAAATAATTTTAGGAACCAAGGTACAAATTTAAAATTGATTAGTGCTCAATTAGAAGAACTTTCACGATGAAAATTGAAAGAAACCAAGAGAAATTCGTCCTCAGTTCGGTAAGTTTGCTGATTTTCGAGTAGATAGAGTTGTTGCAATAAAGCTAAAGCGTGGCACGTAGACGTTTGAATACGATGTGCCTCGTGGGCGTTCGATTTTTTTTATTGCTCTCGGCTGATGCGAGCATATGTATCATTTTTCTTGGAAATTTGTGTCCTATGGAGGATCTTAGCGTCTAGCTATGAAAAAAAATTATTAATTATTACGCGGGATGCTGTGTATTGTTACCTAAACTGATTCGCATTACTCCAGGTTTGGAACGTTCATTGTTTTTTTGTTGTTATGCCAAATCGACCCTAAAGAGCCACCTCTGAGATAAAACGTATCAAATAACTCAAATGTTTTGAGATAAACTCGTACATGAAAAATACTCCGCAGGATTGAAAATAAACAAAATTGAAGAAAATTGGCTTTTGCTTTTTAAACTTTCCCTTTTAAAGGAGGTAATTCAACAAAATAAAATGTGCCTGTGCTCATTTCTTTTGGTCATAGAGCTACCTTGCTGTACTGAATACGTCCAATAAGTATTTACTTGAAGACACTTGGATATTCAGTTTTTACTGACACACATATGCAAAATGTGTAAGAAATATTACCTGTTTAACCCGTTTACCGAGAAGAACATATCTGCTTACCTAGCTGAGTCGACTTAAACTCATTTTAACTGTTACCAAATTCTCTCTTAGCTTTATTTTTGAAATTTTCAAGTAGATGGTAAGGTTTACTCCTTTGTTTGTTGTGTCCATAACAGATACGGAACAATTATAAAATTATTGTGAACTTTTCAATTGTGGCGAACAAGCGTGGGAGGGTAAATTTATATCACGGCGGAAGATCTTATCTACTTACTTTAAATGTTAAGGAATTCGAGGCTAGTCAAGGATTGGAAAGTTATAACACAGTAATGAAATCTGGCGAAACTTTGCAGGTTATCATAAATATCTTAATCCAGAAAGTAGAGATGATATGCAGACTATTCCAACCTACTGGACTTATCCGAGATTTACTTTGCTCATTGCTAATGAGACATAAGCTCTGCTTTGCAAAACATTGGCAAATTGAGTCACTTACATTGCCAAAACAGAACGTCAACATAGCCTCTGCGTATGAGTCACGGAAAAAAAAAATTGAGGAAAAAAAGATGATCGTTGCTCGAAATCTCTCGGAGCACGAAAGCTTGCCAGGCAAGTAAAACGGTTACCTGTTAGATTTGCGACTAATCTGTTGTCTCTCTAATTTAATCAGGTGGTATAACGTAAGTTTTCCACTATTTATAGGAGGAATGTTCGAAATCACTCTTTTGCGAAATGATGAGTATTTTTTTTTATCTCTATGAACATAAGTCTATAAGTTAAGTTGCTTACTCCTAAAAGAAGCCTTGTCGAGCCGGCGGCTGCAAAAATGTTTTACTTTGTTATGACAACTTGGGAATTGCTTCCGTACAATTTGTTTTGTTTGTTTGTTTTTTTTTTTACCAAGCTAAAAACGATTATTTCCCAGTTCTTTACATCAGCGTTACTAGAAATATGGCTTTTTTTCACGATTCAACCATACCTGGTAAAAAGACTCAACCTCTACTCTGCAGTATCTTCAGGTGAACAGCCGCTGAACTGTTACAATCTTGCTTTAAAAAAAGAAACGGATAAACTGCCAACTATCGTTTCTGCATTGTTTATTTCGTTCTTTAACGGCATGACTTGATCGATTATCAAAATCTTGCCTCTTCTTTCTTGGAAACGGAGAATACCCATTGTCATCATATCTTCCAAAAAGTATCTTAAAAGATTACCATAAGTCCCCATTATTTGTTAGAACACTGATTTTACATTGTTACCTAGATTTGACGCTATTGAAGAGCAATGCATTCCATTTAGAACTGACTTCCTTCCGCTACTTACCAGAAATAGCACTTAAATCCATTTTACAGAGAAAACTGCTTTTATTTTATGTCGTTCCAAACGCTGATTTTCAAAATCTTCTTGAATCTGAAACTAAGAACAGTATCATCAGTAATTATAAATAGACAAACACGCGAAACATATTAATGCTATGTACGAAGTAAAATTTCTAACCGCAATGTCACGGATTTGTTGACTTGACAGCCAGTTTTATTACACCGGCGGATATCAGGAGATATTAATTAAAATCATACCCAATTTGGAGTGTCGTGTTTACCGTAGAAAAATAGAGAGGTTTGCCGAATTTCTATCCACCTTCCTTTCGCCGTGGGAAATGAATTTTGATACGTGTTTTGTTCAACTCTGAATTGATACAAAGAAAAAATAAGGAAGTTGCTGGTAGGTACCAGAAAATGGGCGGAATAATATCAGTCTTACAATGAATATCATGCAGAGAAACAGAACTATCTTTGAAGTCGCGCGGTAGGGTCTGCTGACTTGCAAATTAGTTCTTAACTCATAAAACCAGCTGTAATGTCAAGCAACATAACACCTTTCCACGCACAAAACCAAAAACCGTCCGCTGAGAAACATCTTGTCGACTTATGGCC